CGCACTTTCATACGAAATGAAGGTCCCTCTAACACTGTTATCTCAGGAGATTCATCGAAACCCAGTTTTTCTTCGTATCTTAATTATAATAATTACTGGATCTTTTTACCAGATTTCAGTCTCTTTTTTGTGAAAAGCTACTAACTCTGATATCCCTCTGTTTAGGTGCACTACTGCTGCCAGTCCATCGATTACAGCTTATCTTTATTGCTGTTTGTTAATGTTTTATGTTCTACACCTGACCGATCTTAACTCTGTTTTTTGTCCTTGCATGTTCAAGTGTAACACTTCCTTTCTGAAAATCAAGATAATTGACATTTTAGGCACAGGATTCTGGCGCCAGCGTTCTAGTTTTCTTTGATAACTGGCAGGCGTTTCTTATTTCAGATTTTGGCACACACTCAACTCATCTTTTAGTTTTGCAGTTATTTGGCTGCTTTTTCTTATTTCACATTAACATTTATCACGATTCCTGCTATATATATATATTTATTTATTTATTTATTTACTTACCGCTTTTTCTATAAACTTTTCTTGTGTTATTGTTATCCAATACTTTTTCATTTATGCCCATTTTGCCATTTTACTCTCCAATATGAACCTAGAATTTGTTAACCCATTTCCGATTATAGATGCCACCAGTCGCGGTTGATCACTCTTACGTCAATCTATCCAAATCAGAGTATGACTCACAACCCAGTACTAGCCAACCCCCAGTTATTCCTGCGCGACGCAACAAGCCGATTCGTACTACCGATCATATAGCGACATCGCCAGTGTTGCCCGACATAGCCAGACGGACCAAGACTGCATCGAACATTGTCGAAGGGCAGGGACGGCAAAAGGAGGATGAAGAGGACACCTATAATAATCAAGCCTTAAGTAAGTTTAGAAAAGTTGTGAATTATGAATAGCATGTACGGATTGCTTAGTTGATGCCTTAGATCACGGATGCCTGCATTGGGAAAAGTTGCAATTCGTATATTTGTAGCCATAAAATGTAGCGTAATGCGATTAAATGCAACCGTTCCTTTCACCTGAAAATTATTTATTTTTTCAGAATTTACAAGCTTTTGCTTTCCATCGTTGCTAATATGTCTTCAGAGCTTTATTTAATGTCGGATTTACTTGGAGGAGAGGCCAACTCACTTACGCCAGTAATATTTTTTTATCTTTACCTATACAATTTAATTGGGTATATTTTAGAAGGGGGTTGATCTTGTTTTCGCAACTTAGTCGTTTTTGGAGGGATTTAGTTGGACGCACCTTGTCCGAAGTTGTCAGATATAATATTAGAATAAACCAAATCCACGGTCGGACACTGGAAACTATGATAACTACTACAGCTGACGACTTCGGGCAAGGTGCATTCAACTAAGTCGCTCTGACAACACGAGCACGTTGGAAAACGAGGTCAATCCACTTATATACATCGAAAGGAGAATGCGACCATACCAAAGGCCACGCCATCTTGACCTTCATATCTTGGACATATATTCTCTGTCAATACTGGCAATTGATTGGTAGTGGAATTCAAAGCTACTTTATAAGCGAAAAAAGGTTGGGTGAAGATATTTGAAGGTCGGTTCCACCAGAAGACGACGACGGATTCCTCCTGACCAGCTGTCGATTGGCTTTACTGGAAGATTCATGATGACGCTGTTTCCGAGGTAATCGCCTTCGATTGCGGTGAAAAGGTGCTAAGCTTTCGTCCGTCATATGACAAACATCATCAGAGCAAGGTAGCATCGTCACAACGAAATTGAAGCTAATGATTCAAGAATTTTCCGGTGGGTTTTCTTGTATTATTAGCTTGAATTTTGTTGTGACGATGATACCTTGCCCTGATGATGTTTGTCATATGACGGACGAAAGCTTAGCACCTTTTCACCGGAATCGAAGGAGATTACCT